GGAAGGTTCTACTGCTTATTTGTAGATTTCTCAAAAGCTTTTGATAATGTTGATCACAATATGTTGTTACAGAGTTTGGCTGATATTGGTGCCTGCGGAAAGTTTTTGTCTATTATTACATCAATGTACAATAAACTGTGTGCCTGTGTTAGAACACCTACTGGGTTATCCAAATACTTTAAGTGTAATATAGGTATCCGTCAAGGATGCATCCTCAGCCCTCAGATGTTTTTAATATTCATAAATAAACTTGTAAATTTTATGGAAAATTATGGAGGACAAACTGTCTTTATTACTAAAGACTGCCCAGCAATATATGCACTTATGTTTGCTGATGACGTGTCATCTATTGCTGATACACCTTTAAATTTACAAAAGAAGATCAATGCCTTGGAACATTTTTGCAATACCACAGGCATGAAGGTAAACTTGTAAGAAAACTAAAGTTATGGCATTCAGAAATGGCGGATCCCTTAGACATGATGAAAAATGGAAATTTAATAGTGTATATATTGAAACCGTGTCGTTTTATAGATATTTGGGTATTGTGTTCACGCCCAAGCTTGTTTGGACTAAGGCACTAAATACTCTTGCTGCACAGAGTAACAAGGCCATTATGACATTATATAGATATCAAAAGAAAGTTGGTAATATACCCTGTCAAGATATATTTAAGATATTTGATGCTATGATTGTGCCTATTGTCTGTTAAGGCGCAGAAATATGGGGCATCTCATATTGTAAAATTATTGAAGATGTACAGAACAAAATGTGTAAATGGTTTCTAAATACAGGTAAACAACAAACAATGCAATGGTTTTAGGAGAGTGCGGAAGAGCCCCTCTCCAACTTGTGTATACCACAAGGGCCATCAAGTATTGGTGCAGGCTACTGCGTTTGGACGAGCGCAGACTGCCTCGCCAATGTTATTTAATACTCAAATCACTGGACCATTCTGGTCGCACCACATGGGCTACTCACATTAAGAATATTTTGTTTAAATTAGGTTTTGGATATGTATGGTTAACACAAGATGTTGGCAATGTGAAGGTATTTATTCATCTTTTTAAGCAAAGATTATTTGTTAACCTTCAACAATCATGGTGTAGTTCTATCAATAGTATATCTGATACCTTTTATTATAAACATTTTAAATCCCTGTTGAATGTAGAAAAATATCTTACACTCCCCATACCAGTACATCTGAGAATATGTATGACTCGTTTCAGATGTAGCAAGTTTAAACTTGCAATTGACTTGGGGAGATACACAAATGTCCCATGCACTGAACGATTATGTAAATATTGTATAGAAAATGGTATATCTTTTATTGAAGATGAATTTCATGTTTCACTTGTATGTGAGCGTTATTCAGCCCTAAGAAATATGTATCTTAAACAGAATATCAAGTTTCAAACTGTAACATCTTTTACAGAAATTATTTCATCAGAAAACTTTGATGTTGTATATAACACATGTTTATATCTATATAAAGTCCAACGGCTAAGAGAAACTTAAATCGACTACTTCCTTGGCATGCGTAGTTCATGCAATCAACCATTGGCCTTCTTACTGAATAAACTGTCTGTCTGTCTGTCTGACTGCCATATGTTGCCGTGTTCGTGCGTGTGAACACTTGAATTGCCTTTACATGTGTTTGTCCGGACTAGTACAAGCACACACACACATGTGACGTGTGACAAGCATAGTCGCCTTTTCCGGCAAGCATGGGTTGCTGAAGGCCTATTCTACCCCGGATCGTCACGGGTCTCGGTAGTGTGATGTGAGCGGCGACATATTGTGTAGGTCTGGATCACTAGGATGTCACACCCTGTGATATATCCCTGAGGTATTATTGGATCTCATAAAACATCCCCTTCTTCACGCCTCTAATTCCTTGTAGCGACAATGTTTGTGTTGAACAAACTATGGCGATCGAGAAGGGACATCGCTTTATCGATTTCAACTACTGTCGCGAAATTGCAAAAGAGGGATAACACTTGACGAGAAAGCGATAGTTTCTCGCGCAAGCAACAATATTGCTTTCACGCATCGTGCCATCTCTTTTCGTCTCGTGCTATCGCTTTCTAGCCTCGTGTTATCACTTTCTCGCATTCTCGCAGCCGTAATTGAAATCGATGAAGCAATGTCCCCTCTCGGCCACCATACAAAACACATGCAAACAGAGCGTGTTCCAAGCTTGGGGACATTGTCGTCCATCGAAGCTTTCGCTCGTCAGATACGTTTTGAAACAACTCATTGTAAGATCAGTGGTATCTGACAGACATTCGTGCAGTAATCTCTAAATCTTTCGGCTAATATTCCCGTGAATATCCGGGGTAGAATAGGTCTTCAGCAACCCACGCTTGCCGTAAAAGGCGACTATGCTTGTCGTAAGAGGCGACAAACGGGATCGGGTGGTCAGGCTCGCTGACCTGTGAAAGAGCATTTGTTCCCAACCGAGTGTTGTTGAGAAAGAGGTGAATGCAAACGTTGGTCATTTGTGTATTATTTTTGATGACGACTTACATTTCAGATTTGACTGATAGCTATATAATATAGTAAAAATATAAACAATAATCTCGAAAGGTTGTGATATGCTCGTTCAATGATATACAAAGTGTACTACAAACTGAGTCATGAGAGCTATGCTATACATGTCCTGGATTGCAGTACTCGAGCATTGCATGGTGGCGTTGTTTTGTCTTGATGAGTGTAAGCGACCAAACCCTAATGCCATTTATACAGGCGACAAAACCCCTTTCCATAATCATGAGAAATGTCTACTTAAAGGTACATTGTACGATTCCGACTATGTCTTTAGCATGTGTTTAAATCACTATCAAATAGCCATGACACCAGGTGTTAGCGAAGAGTGAGTGAGTTGGGTTTAACGCCGTTTCTAACAGTATTCCAGTTATATCGCGGCGTGTGAGCTTAATGCTGGAGGAAAGCCCGAAGTGATGCAGGTCTCAGACGTTTACCGCTTCGGTGAAACCCACGAGCACGGGTATGGTGCTGACAAACCTAGAAACATAATCGGGGCGATCCATGACTCGAACCCATAATCCTAGGTTTCATAGCGAATCGTGGCGCCTTAGACGACTGGGCCACTCGTGGCCCCTGTTAACGAAGAGGTGAACAGTCATGTGAGAATAGGTGAACAGTCATGTGAGAAGAGGTGAGAACATCTGCGAATGCATTACCTGAACAATACGACGTGTGTAATCTCACATAACAACAAATAAGCTTTATTTTTCAAAAATTAAAAATGAACTTCGTGAAGACGATAATTATGATTTCTTTCCACAGAAAATTATTTCGAAAGTACCATAGATTTCAATATTTCGAACAGAAGGGACACAAGGTTTGTGAATATACGGGTAAGCGGGTGGTTTGACCGTGTTTAAGACCTAAATCTCGAATTAAATGCATTTCTTTCGCAAACTGATACAGTCCCGTGGTACATTAACTTATTGTTATGACATGGTAGAAATGTAAACAGTGACAACAGTGTCGCCTTGACGATGCACTTCTAATTGAATCCGCACGGCTAAAGCCCCAGTTGAGCCCCCTTTACGCTATCAAAAACGTTGACAAAAAACTTGGTCAAAGTCCATTTTGACCAAGTTTCGATAGTGTAAAATGCTGTCAAAAAACTTTGACAAAGTTTTTGACGGACTTTGATGGAATATAAACCGATCCTTTTTCTCGTCAAACTTTGATCAAAGTTTGATGACGTTCATTTATTTTAGCCAATCAGAATGCAAGAAACATTTACCCCTTTTCAACCGGAAGTGCATACAGTCAAAATGAGCTAAGTATTTCGGACTGACGAGATCTTGGAAGAATTAATTGATTTGGTTAAAGAAAGAGCAGTCATTCTCGGGACCAAACATGCCTTTGCCTACCCCGACGCCGCCTTCTCAACATGGCAATAAACAAAATATTCATAACAACAGCAAAACGTTCTTCGTCGGTAGCATCCATCTTGGCAAGATAATTCCCACCAAATTTTGACGGCCTGTCAAAAACTTTGATGAGTGTAAACAGCCTAACTTGGACCAGGAAAACTTAAAACTCTATAACGAATCATTATCACAGAATTATTTCACATGCATAAATGTAAATATTGCCAACAATAATTGTCATGGAAAGCACAGCCAGGATCAGATTATCGATGTTTGACTTAAAACACACTGTAAGTCATGTTTTAGGGTGTTGGTATCTCTTTGGTGAGACATCCAGGTAGACTGAAGGAGACCGTCAGTCACACATCATAGTACAGTGATGGTATTAGGTTTCATTTTGGGAATTACATATTTTTTTCAGACATATAGAAATGAACATTTTATTGAATGACGAAATACTTCATGAAAGCACCAGTAATTTAGGCTTATTCATGTTCGTACTTCGTTCATAGAGGAATTGCGATATCAAAGACCACACTGCCTAGAGAACACTGATGCAGCTTTTCCACATGGACACAAAAGACAAATGTATTTAATATTATATATATCAATAATATATGAATTTTACATTAAACAGGAAGACTTCTATTCAAATACTCGTAAATAGCACTATTTATTATGAGATTAAAATTATTTGTTGGTAATAGTTGATAGATTTTGCTTGTGGGATACATGTTTGTTTGTTTATTTGTTGTTTAACGCCGCACTCAGCAATATTCCAGCTGTATGACGGCGGTCTGTAAATAATCAAGTCTGGACCAGACAATCCAGTGATTGACATCATGAGCATCGATCCACGCAATTGGGATACGATGGATACATGTAGTAGCACTTGGGATGTACAGTACTGTATATTTTATTGTGAGAAAAGGAACGTGGTAAAGATAATAGGGATGCATAAAAATCATCACGAATCACATGCAATGATAACACCAGGTGTTAGTTGGTGTGACAATCCCGGGGTATCGAGGTTTGACTTAATACACACTGTAATAACATAATAATGTCGTAATAATGGTGTGTACTCACCGAGTAGCAGTACTCGTGGTATTATTCCCTCCATGGTGTTCTCCTCCCCCGGGCATTATACACAGGGGGTCGTGGAAATCCTTTTGTGGGACACGGGCAGTTTTAGTCCGAATCAACAGCGCCTGTCAGTCCACGCGCTCGGGAGTCGACATCTGTACCTGATTCCATGAACCGGACGTTATTAACCAGTCAATGCCTACAGTCTCCTAGAACGGTGACTAGTCACAACCACACACAGATAGCTGAACGGGTGACGGTCACGCCCCGCTATAAGCAGCAGGCCAGGAACTGTGAACTGGTTAATACGTTACCAGAACAATCTGACGACTGTGGTCTCTTATTGAGGGAAATGATAAGCTTGGTCCTCGGCCACAGGTTGGTCTTGCAATGTTTGGATCCGATACGCTTGACCTGTCTGTTGGTTTCACATGTGCCCATGCACTGCTTCAGTAGACAGACATTGACTGATGCAAAGTCACTCTCGGTATTGACGTCGCGACAACTGTCGTATGGTGTCAGGCAGGGAGTAGGTATTATGCTGGTAGTGGCACGCATGTGTCAGTAAGGTTAACCAGAAAGGTCGTACATTATCTTGGCTTCGTGTGAGTCTTTCAACAGTGAAAAAATGGTGGTGTCTCAATAGTGCACTTTTAAACTGTTATATATCGGACCCGTGGGTAGTTTATTTCCGTACAGTTGAACTCAAGCATACTGGTTTCCTATTCAACTGCCTGCCTGATAGTAGACTGTCGTCCAGTCAGTCCCGTACAGTTCACTCGAGTATCTCCTGTAAATGACACTTAAATAATGCGGCTTCGGATACAGTAGGTCCCGTACATCACTCGAGTGTCTCCTGTAGAGGCAACTTACATTATGCAGTCAGTTTACACACTGACACATACTTCACTCACTGACTCACACTTCACTCACTGACTCACACTTCACTCACTGACTCACACTTCACACAGTGACTCACACTTCACTGGCTGACTCATATTTCACTCTGGCACATACTACACTCACTGACTCACAGTTCACTCACTGACTCACAGTTCACTCACTGACTCACACTTTACTCACTGTCCTCTAACTCACACTTCACACTCTGACTCACACTTCACTGGCTGACTCATATTTCACTCTGGCACATACTACACTCACTGTCTCACAGTTCACTCACTGACTCACAATTCACTCACTGACTCACAGTTCACTCACTGACACACTTTACTCACTGTCCTCTAACTCACACTTCACACTCTGACTCACACTTCACTGGCTGACTCATATTTCACTCTGGCACATACTACACTCACTGTCTCACAGTTCACTCACTGACTCACAGTGCACGCACTGACTCACACTTTACTCATTGTCCTCTAACTCACACTTCACACTCTGACTCACACTTCACTGGCTGACTCATATTTCACTCTGGCACATACTACACTCACTGTCTCACACTTCACTCACTGACTCACAGTTCACACACTGACTCACACTTCTCTCACTGACTCACACTTCACACACTGACTCACCCTTCACACACTGACTCACACTTCACACACTGACTCACACTTCACTCACTGACTCACACTTCACACACTGTCTCACACTTCACACACTGACTCACACTTCACACACTGACTCACACTTCCCTCACTGACTCACACTTCACACACTGACTCACACTTTACTCACTGACTCACACTTCACACACTGACTCACACTTGACTAACTGACTCACACTTCACACACTGACTCACACTTCACTGGCTGACTCATATTTCACTCTGGCACATACTACACTCACTGTCTCACACTTCACTCACTGACTCACAGTTCACACACTGACTCACACTTCTCTCACTGACTCACACTTCACACACTGACTCACCCTTCACACACTGACTCACCCTTCACACACTGACTCACACTTCACTCACTGACTCACACTTCACACACTGTCTCACACTTCACACACTGACTCACACTTCACACACTGACTCACACTTTACTCACTGACTCACACTTCACACACTGACTCACACTTTACTCACTGACTCACACTTCACACACTGACTCACACTTGACTAACTGACTCACACTTCACACACTGACTCACACTTCACACACTGACTCACACTTCACTCACTGACTCACACTTCACACACTGACTCACACTTCACACACTGACTCAAACTTCACACACTGACTCACACTTCACTCACTGACTCACACTTCACACAGTGACTCACACTTCACTCACTGACTCACACTTCACTCACTGACTATAACTTCACCCTCTGAATCACACTTTACTTACTGACTAACAGTTCACACACTGACTCACACTTTACTCACTGACTCACAGTTCACACACTGACTCACACTTTACTCACTGACTCACACTTCACACACTTTACTCACTGTCCTCTGACACACACTTCACTCACTGACTCACACTTTACTCTCTGACTCACACTTTACCCACTGAATCACAGTTCACACACTGTCCGCTGACTCACACTTCACTCACTGTCCTCTGACACTCACTTCACTGACTGACTCACACCTCACTCGCTCACTCACACTTCACTCACTGACTCACACTTTACTCACTGACTCACACTTCACTCATTGACTCACATTTCACTCACTGACTCACACTTCACTCACTGACTCACACTTCACTCATTAACTCACACTTTACTCACTGACTCATACTTCACTCACTGACTCACACTTCACTCACTGACTCACACTTCACTCACTGACTCACACTTCACTCATTGACTCACACTTTACCTAAAGAACTGTCTGAGACATGTCATTGGTTTCAAGACCGGGTTAACACGTCATCGCCCATTGTTCACAGAGGTTAAGCAGGAAAATAATAACGGTCTCTGATTGAAATATCCGGTCTGTTTTAAACAACACAACCGAAAAAAACACAACAAGTAACAGACCAGTGAGTTGAAGTTTCCGTCTCAGAAAACATAATTCCATTTCTTGTATCAAAAAGTAGTTCCTTGTCGTTTAGAGACTTACGCTGACTGGAGTTCACGGCCGTGCAACGCTATCCCGTAATCATAGCTGTACCTTCATCTTTCTTTCAAATGCACGTTTAATCAAGGATTTGGAAGCTTAGAAGCATCAAGTGATCCGCGTATTCAATTTCAGTGATCAATTCATATAATTGTCACCGCTAATTTGCCTTTTGCGTCCAATGGAATCTGTGTCGGTGATCAAAACTTGTTATTTATGGCGATGACAATTTATATTTACTAAATTCCATAAAAGCATATGTGACAGACTTAAAATTCTGGAAGTCCCTGTGAGAAATGAAGTTGTTCACACGGAAGGTTTTCTGGCAATAAGACGCACAAACTCGCCCTAATAATACAGTTACAGGTCACTACACAAATTAAATAGATCTCACTAACTCATAAAGTTGAGTGGTATTTAAGGCTTAAGACAGAACTGCGGTATTCAATGTGCAATGAGACATCGAGTCCTGAGACGATAACAGGTGAGACATTTAAGAGCTGAGTGCATAATCTTGTTGCATTAAGCAAGTGGATGGCTGTTATAGGTTCTACTACACCAAATCAGTACCAGTTTGGAGAGTGCGGTTTTCGTAGGGAGCCTTCAGTGCAGATCGAGAGATATCTGCAGGCTGTGATTGGAGGATATTCTGTAAGATTTTTATGTCTTTCAAATGTACATCCATCCAGTTATTAAAACTGACCATGTTTTTCTATATTTGGTACTGTCTTTTTCAACATGATGACTTCTGCTGAATGTGACCACAGCTATTTTCAAGTAGGTGACATTTGGTGCGAAACTGGGGGTGGTGTGTTTAGCTTCTGGTACTCGGAAAAGGAGCTGACTAAGCTAGTCATTTTTATTTTTTTATTGCTGCTCTAAGGCCAAACTGTGCACACACGTACAGGTAATAGCTGTTGAATGCTTAGTTATTTTAAAAAAAATCATAACGTTACTATAGAAGTCTATGGGAAAACATTTGGTTGTGTGTAACCTGTATAGTCGGTCAGTGAGCAACATGCATGGACGACGGTGACGCAGGGAGTGGATGTAGTACGTTCTACACCATGGTGTCATTGTGTCAATGTTAGAACTGTCAGTGTGACTCAAGTGGAAAATGACTTTTGTGTGTACGTGGTTGAGGGAACGAGCGAGGTCAAGCGGCGCGTTTGGCAATACAGGTTGGGGGATGGGTCAGGTACGGGGGAATGTTGCTACAACACTGGGATTCACACATTAAAAGTTCAAAAGGTAGTTACTATAAATTGTTCAAAGATCTACCGTCGTTTGAAAAATACCTCCTGCTACCTGATTATTTCTCTCGACTTATTATGTCATTTCGGACATCGAATCATTATTTACCTGTGGAGACATGCCGCTGGAAAAATATACCCAGAATCAATAGAAATTGTAACCTATATAGCTCACCTGCGATAGCCGACGAGTTTCATTTATATTTATTTAAATGCTCCTTTTTTGATACCATGAGATCACATTATATTCCAATTTATTTTTGTAAATGGCCGAATCTCGCAAGGTTCAAAGTTTTGTTTACCTCAAATAATTGCTTAATCGTGAAAAATATCTCCAGATTTATAAGAATTATTAATAAAGATGAGTACAACACTATAATCTACAACTTACCAAGTGATCACTACAATTTATTGTTTATGTTATAACTTTATTTGTATTGTTCCTGTACCACCTATGGTGGTTTGTTGAAATAAAATATTGATTGATTGATGGGGTCCCATTTGGATCCAATATATGTTAGATCATGATCTAAGTTGCGAAAAAGAATGTATACACTTGAAAATTGGAGAAGAGAAAAAAAATACGATCGTTATTGAAACGTTTCAAGGTTGAAACAAAACACCGAAATACTGCAAACTTAAGCTCCAATATAGGGGTTAACACATCCGGTAGTGATTACAGCTTACCCACGTTTACCCGAGTGCTCAAAACAGCAGAAAGAATTTAGTCTGTAGTAAATGAACTACAAAACAAGTCTGGTCTTTGAAGGAGCCCTTTGCGCACGCCTGCGTGCATGAATTCTGTACTAAGCCTGACAATAACGCTGGAGCCTTAGTGTGTGGCTGTTCACCACTCGAATGTGACAAACACCTTCACTATACCTTCGGCACTGTCGATATGAAACGCATTCCTTTCGCTTCATCAGTTACTTAGAAAGTCACTATTTCAATGTCAACTAAACGATAATTCTGTTTCATGGGTGAAAAAGTGACAGACTATTTCTTGCAAGTTACACTATGTGATGCAAGAATCATACGTCATATAAAATTTTCACCATGTTTGTTTTCTCTCTCTCTCTCTCTCTCTCTCTCTCTCTCTCTCTCTCTCTCTCTCTCTCTCTCTCTCTCTCTCGGGATTGTCGATTTACGCTTCGTTAGTTACTAATACCCCGTTCACATGCACAACATTTGTTTACAAGCAATTTTACACATATGTAACTATACATACGTTCGTATATGTAAAATTACTATGCGTTCACATGAAAAGCATCTAGATGTGTAAATAAAGTTTGTAAATTGTGTAAGGCACACATATTCGTCAGTCTGTTCACGACTTTCAACACAAAACAGG